GATTAACTCCTTCCTCCCACTCATCTCCCCAGCCCCAAGGTCAGCAGCGGGCAGGGCAGTGGCCCCGTTGGGTCAGTGGCTGAGAGGAGCCCCAGCACCCGGCTCTGTCCGAGGGCAGCACCCCAGGGACACCTCAGGGGACGCAGGGGGACAGAGAAGGGGCAGCTCACCATGACATAATGTCTCTGCATCTCYGTCTTCTCGCTCACCAGCTTCTCGCATTCCAGCTTCAGGCTGCAAAGGGGAGCCAGGGCTTCCATTGAMGGACCTGCACCTCCTGCCCCGTCCCTCCAGTGCCCATCCTGGGAGCTCAGCGAGCTCAGCACATCTCCTGCCTGCCCCTGCGGGCTCACGGGGTGAAAGGGGTGTCACACACCCTCCCCGGGCCACCAGCACCCCACGGCGATGCTGTCACACACCTGTAGCACCCGTCCGGAGCTCTGTCCCCTCCCTGCCCCTCACCCCGCTCAGCCAGAGGAAACGCGGCCAATTTTCTCCTTGGGATCCGCGCTCAAGATCTGGCACCACAAGTGACGGTTTCTCGCTGCCCCTCAGCCCAGACTCATCTCCCCTACCTCCGCAGGCGCTGCTTTCACCAGATTCCTTTTCTCCATCACCTCCTTCCCCACTTTCCCCGCTGCCCGAACGCTCCAGCCTCCGCTGTCCCATCACASCTCTGCCCCAGACGCTCCCTCTGCCCCAGCCCAGCCCGACCCTTTGCCCCCATCACCCCCCGAASCCCCGCACCCCCCGCCCCACCTGTGGTACTGCGCCTGCAGGAACTGAAATTCCTCCTTGATGCGGTCGCAGATTTCCAGCACCGAGAACTTGAAGGGCTGCCCGGGCTGGAGCGGGGGCTGCGGAGAGACAGCCCGGGCTGGAGGCGGCGGCTCGGCCCCCCCGGCGCAGTCCGGCCCGGCCCCGCCGCCCCCGCGGCTCTTACCGGGTGCCGTCCCTGCGGGAACATCCTGAGCTCCCGGGAGGGCTGCCCCCGCCGGGGCACCGGGGTGCCTCGGTGGATCCGGGGCCTCACCGAGCGGCTCCGGCGGCGGTCCCGGGGTCTCCGCTCGCCCCCGTTGGGGCTGGGGCGGGGCTGGGGCGGCCCCGGTGTGGGGGGGGAGCGGCCGCCCGGCCCCGCGCGCCCCGGCCGCCCGTTCCCGCTTAAGGAGGCGCGTTCCCGCGGGGCTCGGGACAGCGCGGGGGCAGCACCGGAGCTCCCGCACCGGCTCCGCGCCCGCACCGGCTCCGCGCCCGCACGGCGATGCCGGAGACCGAGGGGAGCCCGGGGAAGGTGTTGGAGCCGCTGCTCCTGGCTCGAATGGAGCGACTCGGGAGGAGTCCGCCCGCACCGCGGCCCCGGTCCGGGGTTCACCGGGTCTTCGCCCCGCTCCGGGCCCGGCCAGGCGCGCGTCCCCCAGCGCGGTGCAAAGCGCGGGCGCGGCTCGGAGCTTCTCCCGTCCCCGGAGCACTCTGGTGCCCGCTCCCAGGCGGGGAGCGCCCTGGGCACCACCGCCCCCGGGGCTGCGGGCGGCCGGGGCACCGACCGCCGGCGGGGCAGCGCGCTGGGACGGACATCATAAACGAGCACAGCGGGACAGCGCCCGCCTGACCGGGGACCGCAGGGGCAGCGGGATCCGGTGTGCAGCACAGCCGGGCCTGGGGGCGGAGCGGGGCGGGGCGGGCCGGGGTCTCTCGGGACCTGCCCTTGGTGTGCCCGGGGCAGCCCCTCCGGGAGAGCTGGAGCACGGCGGGGCCGCCCCGTCCCGTCCCCTCAGCCCGCTCCACCTTAACCGGCCCCACAGCCCGCAGCGCCGGCGCTCGCACCGGCCATTGGCTGCCGCTGCGGGAGCGCCAGCCAATCGGCCCGCGCGGTTCCCACATGGGCTCGTGACGCCAGAGAACGAACTGACCAATGAGAAGTGAGCGAGCGGCTGGAGCCCCCCCCCGGGGGATGCGCCGCGGGGCATGCTGGGAGTTGTAGTCAGTTATTGGCTACGCCCGTTCGGTGGCGGCGACCGGGACCGGCCCGGCCCGTCCCTGCCGCGCCCACGGGCCCGAGGAGCGGCCCGGCCCGGTTCTGCCGCGGGGCCCGGCCCAGCGCCGGCTGNCACAGCCCGCAGCGCCGGCGCTCGCACCGGCCATTGGCTGCCGCTGCGGGAGCGCCAGCCAATCGGCCCGCGCGGTTCCCACATGGGCTCGTGACGCCAGAGAACGAACTGACCAATGAGAAGTGAGCGAGCGGCTGGAGCCCCCCCCCGGGGGATGCGCCGCGGGGCATGCTGGGAGTTGTAGTCAGTTATTGGCTACGCCCGTTCGGTGGCGGCGACCGGGACCGGCCCGTCCCATCCCTGCCGCGCCCACGGGCCCGAGGAGCGGCCCGGCCCGGTTCTGCCGCGGGGCCCGGCCCAGCGCCGGCTGTTGGCGAGGCTCCCGCCTCGGGCAGCCCGGGCGAGCAGACTGCGCGGCCCACGAGGCCTTGCGGCTGCCGCCAGCTGCCACTCAAAGTAACGTGGGGCGGTGGAGCGGCGGCGGCTCAGGCGGGAGGGCCGCGGGTCGGGCGGGACCGGAGCCACCGCTTCCCCCGGGATCGGGCTCTGTGGGGCTGCTCCGGCCGGGAAACGCTCGGCTCTGCCCTGGGAGAACTCACCGAGAGCCCCTTCCCCGTCCCCCGCGACCCCTCCTGTGAAGTCACCGCACACGGGGGTGGTAAAAGCGAGCGAGGAGCAGCCTTTAAATATTGCAGGACCCAGCTGTACCTGGGCACTGCACARGCAGGCACAAGGTTAAATATTTAATGCCTCACATTTCATCCTAATCTTTTATTCATTGTGTTATTTACGTGCTGCGTKCTGGCAGCGGCCAGGGCAGGGATAAGGTGGTGGGCACTGGAGGCTCTCCCTCCTCTYGCTCCCATGTCTTTCCTCGTGTCCCTGTCCCTGCTTTTCCTCCCTAGCCAGCACTGGGTGTTGTCACCAGGCTGGCCCAGACCCTGGCAGTCTCAAGCAAGGAGCCAATCCAACCCCAACACTTGCCCCTTTACTTTTCCCTGGCCACAGGTGTGGGCACCACACTGGGCACCAACCTTCCACTGCCTTCAAACCCTCCAAAATCCTCCTTTCTATAATGTTTAGTGTGTGTWCATCATATATCTGCACATATATCTGCATATTTTAGTGCAAATGTAAAGTTTTAAAGGTTTTTCTCAGTGTTTTGCCTCTTTTGGGAGAGGTTTTTTTTTAAGGGAAGCGTTTTTTTCAATGTTTTTTTTTTCTGAAACATTTCAGATCGCGTTTCAAGGGAAAGATAGATTGAGATGTTTTGCGGCACTTTTCAAAACCCCTYTCCGAAAATTGCCGGTTTTCCTGAGGCAATCTCTCTGCTCCCCTGTCTGGGGAGAGTGACACAGGTAAACCTGGAGCAGGCAGCTCYGGAGTGACGGGTGTCACACGCGTCTTGATCACCCTCCCTCAGTGATTGACACGAGCCCTGGAGCAGCACAGCCTGGAACCCGGAGATTAWTTTCTGTTTGGATGGCAGAAAACAACAAATTAACCCTTGGCACCCCTTGGGCTTGGCACAGCAGGGAGGGGTGCTGGTCCTGCTGATCCCCCGGGCGTGGGGACAGTGCAGGGCAGTAGCCACTGCTCAGATCTGGTGGTCACCACTGCAGGATGTTCAGCCACCCCCTGCAGCAGCCACAGGTTCATGTCTGGTAGTGCCAGGGCCTGGAAGAGCCCCAAAGGATGAGGGTGTTTGAAATCCACGCCAGGATCAAGAGGTGAAGGGCTCTGAAAGTTCTTTGTTTATCAGCAGCGGAGAAATCAAACCGACCCGGGGGTTTTGAGAGACCCAGGAGCTCTGTTTGAAACTGGATCTGGGCAAAAGAGGTCACTGCTGCTGGAATTAACGCAGGGATTTTACCTTTTTGATCCYGAGTGCCACCATGGGACAGGGAGCTCTGTCCCATTCCATGTGGCTCTGGTTGTTCCTCTCCCCACTCCTGTGTCCAGCACATCTCCAGAGTGGTCAAGGGCAGAGCTGACCGTGTTGGACAGGGAGACTGAGGGTGGCCAAAGCTCACCTTTCCAAACCATCCCATTTTCAGCTGCTCACCTGGATATTGAATGAGGAGGCAGGAGCTCAGCAGAGACCGATTCCTGGCACCCTCAGACAATGTGAATTTCCCGCGGCAGCTGGCACAAACAGGGAGCTCATCCTGGCTGGAGTCTGCCCTGGAACGAACATGAGATGGGAAGAGGAACTGAGGAAAGGCTCTGGCAGCGAACCAGCCAGAGTGAAGCCAGAGCTCTGCTGGAAATCAAGGCTCCCCAGTGCCCTGAGTGCCCTGAGCTGTGCTTTCAGCCCCAAACTGCAGGTCCCWGTCCCCAAACCCCCAGAGCTGGTGTCCCACTCTCCAAAGTGGGGACAGATGTCCCTTCCAACCCTCCYTGGTGCCAGGGACACCTCCTCACCGTGGGGCTGCAAAAGAGGAGTGGGAGCCCTCAGAGCAGCCCGGCAGCTGACAGCCCCTGGTCTCTGTTGCTGCCTTCGATCCATCCGTGTGTTGGCTCCTGTTTGCACTTCCCAGCTCTGAGTGGTTTTTAATTATTGATGCCTCTTTTAGCTTTTATCTGGTGCTGGCTGCAGCCAGGAAGAGCTCGGCGTTCCTGCATTAGCGGCGAGCTGGGAAGGAAGCCCTGCTCCAGAACCGTTCCTGGCTGTGCCATTGTTTGGGGCAGAGCTGTGAAATGAGGAGGGCGGGAGCCACGGGGGGATGTGGCAGAGGGGATCACAACTCCCACAGGCAATTGGGTCTGGGGGTTCTGTCCTATGGGGAGGATGGAGCCAAAGTGGGTGAAACCCAGTGAAAAACCACCACTGCTCACTGCATGGAGGAGGAAAGGGGTTGGTTTGTGACTCTGTAGGAGGAGATGGGGGACAGCAGAGTTTGGCCAAGCCCCTGGCAGCTGTGAGCAGGAATTGCTGTCAAGCCTGGGTTAATGCCACGCTGCTTGGTGGTCAGGGTTAGGATTAGGGTCCTGCCCCTGCCCYGTGTCCACCACAGCCTCTGTGGCCAGCAGGACACACTGTGGCCATCACCAGATCACTCTTTACCCACCTTTTATGTGTCAGGGCTCTGCTGAGTTCTCCCAAGGATCCTGGTGTCAGAGCTGCTTCTCAGRCCTCACCCTCCATCCCTGTCCCACTCCTGCACCACAGCCTCTGGAACAACAGGAGAAAGGGTTTTTCTGTCAGGAGCCAATCTCAAATCATCCCTGAGCATCTCAAATCTTCCTCATCAGCTGTGTCCCTGCAAGTGCTGAGCTGTTCTGCAGGTCAGGAGAGGGGCTCCTGCCTTCTGAGAGGGTACAAAACCTGTTGGGAAGGAGAGAAGCTGTTTCCCCAAGCCTGCAGTTGCTGGGAGAATCACAAGGAAGGCATTTTTAACCCAGTTTTTTCTGTTGGTATGGGTTAGACCTGCAGATTTTGTTATGCACTGAATAATTGAGCTGAAATCTGGGAAGGCACCCTGTGAAATTACTCCCTTTGGAAATCTAGGAGCGGTGGCAGAGCCAGGCTGGAAACACAGGGAGCCACAACACTGCTCCTCGCTGGGATGGGATATCAGGGTGTCCCCCACCAGGCAAAAAAACCCTTTAGAAATGGAAAATCATGGGCAGCAGGATGAGCACAAGGTTCAGCTCAGCATCTGCTGGGAGGTGCAGGGGGTTTGGAGAGGCCAGAAATTCTCTCTTTACACATTAATCGAGGGTCAGTCTCCCCCAGGGAGTGAGGAGACCCCCACAACCCAGCGCAGAGCTCATGGGTTGCCCAACCCCCTTGCCCACTGAACCGAGGCCGCTGCTGAGCTCTAACAAGAGGCACCTCTGTTCCTGAAACCCACAACAATTTCTCCTAAATCCTTCTCTCCCTTGAGTATCCATCCGGAGGAACATCCGCTTGTGGTGCTCCCTTCCCCCGGGGCTGAATTTGAGCCTCTGAGCTGGAGGTGGAAGCACAGGGGAAGGTCTGGCTGCTCCCTGCGGGTTTTTCTGCATTCACAGGGCACGGATGGCTTTAGCAGCTGTCCCGACCCGAAGCAGCGCTGGTTTTTCACATCAGGGACCTGCTGGATGTCGGCAAAACCCCCGGAGCAGCTGTCGGACCTCGGGGTCAGTGTTCCAGCAGCTCCAGAGAGGGAGCACCCATACCGTGCCCGGGGTTGGATGGATCTGCCCCACCAGGGCACTGGGGTCAGCTCTGCTCTGCACCCCGGATCTGCCCCACCAGGGCAATGGGGTCAGGGCAGCTCTGCACCCCACATCTGCCCCACCAG